GTGAGTAGAGATGATACTTGAAACTTCTGACAGTTTACAAAGTCTATCCAGTTGCTTGAGTAACAATTTTCTTGTGAACCTTTTCTGACTTTTTCTGCATGGGTCATTATACCCCATAAATATACATACATAAAGGCGTTGAAAACGAATTACATTTTATAATAGATTGCCGAACTTATGATGAAAACCGACGAAAATTGTTACAACGTATTACATGTAAGACCGATATAACACTACCCTATACAAAGACAGAGATATTCTATATTGCTATCATGCCCTGTCAACATTTCCACTTATGTAGGCCAATTTGTACACAATTCCATGACAAAACGAGAAAACGTAATTAATTCCTGACACAATTTGTTACTACATTGTATTAATAGAGTTAGATTAGTATAATTAGTTTCTCTCTTTTGTTATACATTGTTTATGAAGCAGACCAGATTCCTATTTCAGTTAGTAGAACAGATGGATATTCTCACAACACCACCATATGTGTATGTTAACACCACAAACTATGTAGGTATCATTTTGCCATACGTTGTACCGCTACATCTGTTGCGCAATAAAGTTATTCTTCTAGATATAGATAGATAGATAAACATAGCAAGGGAAACTTCTATTCATACAATTCCTCACGGATAAGATGTCATGACATATGAACTTCTAAATACTGCATGATAACGTGGGCGTCCATTTCCAAGTCACCTCTGTCATATTCAGGTGTATATAATCGTACCCTGAAGGTCGTCGCAAAAACGCCGTCTTTAACGATAGGTACATATCATTGAGATCTTCCGTAATCTAATTTCCATCTCGAAAACGGTCGTCACCGTTTGAAACGGTCGATGCCATATCGCAGAACGGCTAATAAGTGTATCAGCACTGTCTACCCACACCATGCCCGTAGCCGGGGGGGAAGGGGTTGGAAGAACCCCCCACAAGGCTCAAAGGTCCACTTTTTGGTCCACTTTTTATGTAAAGGTCCAAGATTTTTCTTTAGATGGACTGATTCGTATCACCAGCGGGGCTGGAATTGTATAAAAACTGCCTATCGTATAAAAAGTTATCTCTGATTTTTGTCTTTGAAATCCTCTCAAAAACGTGAAATGCCATTTCAGAAGGTTCATTTTTCAAAATTTTCCGGGGGAGCATGCCCCCGGACCCCCAGGAACCTCGCGCCTACGGTGCTCGCATCGCGCCAACGGCGCTCGCTGGTCCTTCAATCACTGGGAAGAACCCCACACACACACACACACGTGCAAAATTCTGGCTACGGGCATCCACACCGTGATGTTTCGTGACGTAGTGGGTTAGGGTATAGGTTAGGGATTTAGAGCTACGCTTTTTGACCCGGGTTCGAATCCTCGGAGCTTGTGCTTTTTTTCTTTTTTCACTAATACCTTTTTCATGATCCTCCCTTACATTTGCCTAAGGGCAGGCATGTTTGTGTGTGGGTGGTGTTCAGCACCAAGGACAGGCATGCTTGTGTGTGGATGGTGTTCAGCACCAAGGACAGACCTTTCGAATGTTGCTTTAATGTTTTTTTTTTTGGACCTAAAAGAAAAGTTATGATACGCTCGGATCAATGAACGCCCGTGCTCGGATATGGCATCGAACAGTCAGCGGTATGGCATGGAAAGTCGACGACCGTTCTGAAAGTCGACGACCGTTCTCTGAAAGTCGACGACCGTTTACGACACGGAAATTTGCGTCACCGTCGCCCAACAGCCGCCCAGAAAGGGCGAAGATAATCCCAGAAAAAAACGCGGTCCGGTTTATTCCAGTTTATTCCGGTTTATTCCAGTCTCCAGGCTGCTGGCGCCAGACCGCCGCTGAATACCAAATGCACGCGGTAGAAACCGATGAATATTGAAAAGGTCAGAGGATACGTTAGCTTTATCTGAGATGTGTTCAGTCCCGGGTTGGGTTTGGATGTCGTCCAAACAAGTAGGCGAAGGTTTCCCTCTCCTCAAGGTGTGGAAGTTAAGATACCGGAGGGTGACGAGAGAAGGTTAAACCGTTTAGGTCTGTCTCTTTCAGTTTGCTTTCCTCGGGTTATGTACTAGTATCTCGGGGTTAGCGACCGCATCAGTCACCACATGGTGAGGTTTGAACACTCTAGCTGTTCCTGGTCGATTTGTCTTGAATTGAATAAAGAAGCCAAAGCTAGCATCTCCATCCTCTTTATCTTCTTAACATCCTTTTATTTTTGCCAATTTTGTAGCTCAAACAAAATAGAAGATGAAGTCCACTTTGTTATTGATTGTAGTTTATATAGTAATGATAGAAATGATCTTTTTAGATATATTTAAGTACGTTTCCATACTTCCAATACATGACTAATATTGAAAAATTTATCTTTCCTATGCGCTTTTATCACCCTGTATTAAACAAATTATTCAAATTATATTTTAACATTACAAAGAAACGAACCGAACCTCTGTATTAGAGTAGTTTTAGAGCTGTTTGTACTACAAACATGTATATTACCTATTTCATCTGTGAACCTGTACTTAGCCCGATAGGGCATGCTGAATGTACATCAGTACATGCATGCTTCCTTTCTATGCCCACGGCTACAGTTTGCCTGTTATCTACACCGTTCTAACTACTGGAGGAGAGCCAGCCGATCATTTCATGCTGTTCTGAGAGGAAACTGTCTCTTAGCTTGCCGATGGCGTAGTTTATACCGTCATGAGAAACAATGATAATAGGGGTCTGAAGGTGTCGCTATGCCGGAAGGTTTGAAGAATATAGTGGGTGTTAAAGTGACAGGATGTATAGTCTGTACTTGCGGGTATGACACAGGAGTGTCAATATTAAAAAACCCACATTATGCACTTTATGATTTTAGACACTGAACAAGACTATTTCTTGAGAGGGGCGAAGGAAGCCATTTACATCAGGGCCCATCACCCTACATTGAACCGCGACGGGGGCCGACATCGTCTTCCAGATACCTTTGACGTCACACTTCAAAGAAGCCACATGACAAGCTTCACTGGGTCAGTCTACTGAGGAACACCAGAGTGACTGGTCGAAAGCACTAGGTGAGAGAATTTTTTGTGTTGGACCAAAAGTTTTAACTTTAAACATGTAACTACCAACACAGATGAACTTTCATGATATTATGCACTTTACTTCTTACAGGTAGCCCCTCCCTCCCATACCCTACTAACTGCCGTATCTTTGATATTGTGTTCAACTATATTCATCACACTGGAAGATTTGACCAATCACATTAACGCTATAGGTATTGGTGCGCCAGCCACTTTCATTTTATGTTTATGTTATATTTTATGTCATCTTTATGCATGTTTAAATTTGTACTATGCTTTATGAGCAGCGGATTCACATGAGCACAACAAGTGCTTCCTATCTAATGCTCAAAAATCCATGTGAATAAAATAAATAAAAAATATAAAAAATTATATTTGCGTTCTCCTGAATCAAACGAAGGGCCGTTAGTGGATTCAGAGCCTAACATCTTTTTATTCTAGCTCTAGCTAAAGGCTAAACATTCTAAGGAGATATTTTGGTGGTATTTAAGCTCAGTACAAATATTTTACTGTCAAACCTGTCCAAAAAGTCCACTAAAAACTATTCGGACTTATGTTCTAGCGTGTGCAACTTTGGAATTTCATAAAAAATGCACCTAGGAATTTTTCTCACTTCCTACTGAGCAATTTTTATTCCATATAATATAGACATATTCCATATGTAGAACAGAGAGTCTTATTTTTTCTGGGAACTTACCTCCGATGTTTTGCAACTCTGGAATTTCATAAAAATGCACCTAGGAATTTTTCTCATTTCCTACTGAGCAATTTTTATTCCATATAATATAGACATATTCCATATGTAGAACAGAGAGTCTTATTTTTTTTCTGGGAACTTACCTCCGATGTTTTGCAACTCTGGAATTTCATAGAAATGCACCTAGGAATTTAATTTTTCTCACTTGCCACTGAGCAATTTTTATTCCATATAATATAGACATATTCCATATGTAGAACAGAGAATCTTATTTTTTCTGGGAACTTACCTCCGATGTTTTGCAACTCTGGAATTTCATAAAAATGCACCTAGGAATTTTTCTCACTTCCTACTGAGCAATTTGTATTCCGTATAATATAGACATATTCCATATGTAGAACAGAGAGTCTAATTTTTTTGTGGGAACTTACCTCCGATGTTTTGCAACTCTGGAATTTCATAAAAATGCACCTAGGAATTTTTCTCACTTCATACTGAGCAATTTTTATTCCATATAATATAGACATATTCCATATGTAGAACAGAGAGTCATTTTTTTCTGGGAACTTACCTCCGATGTTTTGCGATAGCCACGCCGACTGTGCCGACAAGTAACATTGCTGCTCCCAGTACGGTGAAGACTAACGATAGGTCCACGCTCCTCATGTCACCCTGGCTGTCTTCTACTGTTGCTCTCTCCACACCCTCGATAGGAGCTCCGATGACGTCCTCTATCTCACTTCTGTGTTCCTCCAACGCCATGATGAGTGTGGATTGGTCCAGAAATAATCTGGTTTCGTTATCTGTATTTAAGGTATATTCAAGGTACATGAGGACATATCATCAATACATGACCATATGGTAACTCAAATACTGTTTAGATAGTAGTTTGTAGTAAGTAAAGTTTTGTAGTATTGTTGTATTACTGCCACACATTGTACCTTGTACGATTGTTGAGCAATAAAGTTCATTCATTCATTGTATTTAACAAGTTTCTATAAACTCTTTTGCAACAACAGAAAACAAATTCAAAGTAATCTCATATAAGGAGGTTTGTGATAATATGTTCAAAACATCGGAAAAGTAGGAAGCAATTCCTTGTGTGTGTGTGTGTGTGTGTGTGTGTGTCTGTCTATCTGTTGCACGTTTTGAATTGGAAGAACTTATACTTTTTTATGTTCACTAAATAATGCCATGTATTATCAATGAGGTAGACTCTCGTTGTCTCAATCATATTAGAGTTACTCACCAAGAACTACGTCATCGGAATGGCGAATTCTGATTGGTGGGCCGGATGATACCGCGAGAAAAGCCAAGTCTCGCCTGGTACGAGAGTTGCCGCACATCTCGTTGTTCTCGCGAGGTTTGGCAAGAAGCATGACCTTGAGTAGAGGAGGGGTGACTTCTGGGTAGCCAGCCCCCACGTGGATGTCGTCTTCGGTGACGAATTCTAGCTGAGCAGGCCTGGACGTCAAAGCATGAAGAAATTCAAATTAAAGAAAAAAACTTTTAAAAAATTAACCGTGCCATTTTCCCTTGGGACAACGCGCCTACGGGGTAGTGTGAACTAATGAACCGTGATATCATCATTCACTACATACATGCAGACATTGAAACCCAAAATATCAACTATAATTGTTGCCAATAATTTCACAAAACTGTGGTTAAGAGCCAGTATGCTATAAAGCGACACTAGAATCAACGTGACTCTCTCTAATGCAAGTTTTGTTATCAACGCCAAGACCACAAATGAAAACGTTACCAGTTTTATATGAGTATTATAACTCGGATCGTGGGGTTTTAAGATCATACTTTTAGGGATCATTTCTATAGTATGTTGCTCGTGCATTCTCACGGAAACGTGAACGCACGCAGAAGCCACGATGACGAGCGGTAGCGTTCCCTTCTGAGCGCGAGGCGGGCTGGGAGTGGAGCCCCTGGGGCTCCGGGCTCCCGGCCATTGATGACCGTTCCTCCCCCTCTTACGGAGGGGCTGGAGGAAGGGAACGCAGTCCGAGTGGTTTCTACCCTCTTTTTTCTGAGATCTAAAGTAGAACTTGACTACTCTAGCCTCGGCCAGGCTTTTGAAGACGGCTGGAAAGAGCTGCGGCAAAATGACGGAGGGGCCGGAGGAAGGGAACGCATTCTGAGTAGTTCCGTTTTTTATAACCAAAAAGAAATGATCCCCCTTCACTGGAAGACGGACCTATCAGGTAATAAATAGGCCAAATGTAGACAGATCCTGAAGCTCCGCCCACCTCCGTCAAAACATAGAAACGCAAATATTTGACGGACATGCAGCTACTCTCTCATTGGTCGAACCACCAGTTGCCTTTCTCTCATTGGTTGAACTTTTAATTGTGATGGACTTTCGGGATCGGTCTTATGCAAGTTGGTCCGTGCTACGAGAATATAGCGACAAACTCCTCTGGCATGTCATCGGCCAATTTCTACGCTTCCCAGCCGCTTCCCAAAGCCTGGTAGATGCTTGTGATAGATTCCAATACACACTGATAGCAAGGAAGTATCCATCTATTCCATACAAAGTATTAGTGTAGTGAACTGTAAGATTTGAAATAACTCACGATGTCTTCTCCTGACTGTATGGGCAGCACAGGCTGAATCTGACTGTACAGTACTTGTTGATAACCCGGGACACAGCCTTCTTTAGAAGTCTCTTTGCCTTGTACCACTGAAAATATTATCTTGAAAGTTAATTTGTGTTGACAGATGTCACTATGCAGCAAGTTTAAACTGTAATTTCCAAAACAAGAAAAATATGGACTCACCCAAATTTTCGACTGTACAACTCCAGTCTAGATCTTTGTCAAGGAATGAGCAATCCATCGCTTCCGTGACGTCACGCAGATAACACACGTGACTCCGTGAGCAGTGGATCATAGGTTGCAGAGAGTCTGTGACGCCCCCCGTCTCTGTTGAGGGATGGTTTTCACGGAAGCGGTGGATTGTTCATTCATTGACAAAGACTGGAGTTGTACAGTCGAAAATTTGGGTGAGTCCATATTTTTCTTGTGTCGGAAATTACAGTTTAAACTTGCTGCATAACACTGAAAATATCATTATGACAACCGTGTGTACGTGTTACAAACATTGTATATTCAATGTAGTAACTATAGTGTCTTCTGAATCATTCGAAATGTAATCTAAAATCCATGCAAACAGAATTAGAAAAGTTAGCTTTCGAGTGATAACAAGGAAAAGTTCTACAGCATGAATTAATTGCTGGTATGGAAGATGTACCTGAGACGCCGCCATGCGGATGTTGATGATAACGCCGAATCTAACCTCCACTCTGCTTTCTGGAATGTATGAGGAAGGACATATGTTGTTAAACACCAAACTGTGGGGAGGAGAACCTAGAAGAGAGTTATGTTTGGTCAAACGTAGCATGCGCTTGTGGATATGGATGGTCAGCTAGGATAGTGGCGGCTGGTGTAATACCGGACTGGCCGCTAGGAGCGCAGATTTAGTCAGGCTAGTCAGGATAGGTGTCTTACTTTGGCACATTGCTCCGTAGTAGTTCTCCGTACACTGACATCTGCAGGTTTTCTTCATGAGGATTCCTCCATTTTCACATGACATCCCGTCGCAAGGTGGTGGTCGCGCCGTGGCTGCCTCGGTGGATGGCCTCAGCCTGCTGCTCACCGTACTTTCGCCAGGCGTCGCTTCTGCCTTGCCAACAGCACTCGTTGATGTAATGGTTGCTGTAGCTGGCCGTGGTCTAGAGTCTGTCTTTCCGTCAAGTGAAGCTTTTGGCATGGCAGCCGTACAGAACTCTGGTAGGTCTGTCAAGCAAAGCAATAACCCAAAATATATCACAACATTATGCAGTATAATAAAGAAAGTTTTATTGCAAGTTCTTGCCTGTAAGCAACATGTTATAGTCGTCCTAAACATTCAGCAACGGTAAACATTGACGTGAGAAAATAAAGATGACTTACCTTCGACTTGGGTACAAATTCTGCAGTTGACGTCTTGCTCAACATTAGCAAACTCTGTTCAAGTGAAGAATGATATTGATACATATTAATGATTCAAAATAAGAAGACAGATTATTTCTTGTTCGCTAAGATCTACCAACTGTAAATAGCCTTTATCTTGGCATGTATAGTCACTCAAGTAGGTGATTTTTGACAGCTCGGTCCTTAGATGTTATATTTCAATTGGAGCTTTAAATGGTGGTCTTTGCCCTGAAGACAGTTCGTTACTCACTGCATTTCCCGCACATCTCCCTGCAGCCCTCCGTGACGGCCGCTAGGTGGCGACACACAGCCGGTCCGTACCAGCCTGGGTTACAGTAGCACAACGGGTGCGTGTTCTGGCACGGCACTGGAAAACAGTGAAGGAAACTTTGTCACACATTTTCAGCTTTAGAAAAAGAATAAAAGCATGATTACAGAGCACCGTATTACGTGAAGGGGTAACCTTTTATTGCCTCATTCATGTATTACTCTAAACTAGTACCAACCCAAAAAGTAAACGGCTGTATGAAAGTTTGTTTTTATTGGTGAGAATTTTCTTTTTGGCCAGCCCAACGGATGTAAAACGTCAAACTAATGAAAGGTTGTCTGTAATTGATGAAATTAGGACGTAATTGTTGGCAGCCGCGCGCTAGGTCGGATGTGGACAGTCCCGTGTTTTGAGTAATGCGGGACATTGAGGTCATAAAGCCACCTCGTTCGCTACGCTCACTTGGTGACTTTGTTCGGTGGTTATAGCAACTGACAAGGCTTTATCACACCATATTCACCTCGGGGCGGGTCATTAACCCTTAATTAACATTAAATTGATACCTACGTTCACAGTTGGTGCCGTCCCAACCGTCTGGGCATGCGCAGGAGCAGTCGGTTTCGTTGAGAATCCCGCCATTCTGACACTGGAGTACGCAACCTGGTGATGACGTCAGCAAAAAAGGTATAACCCCAGGGGGGGAGATGATACTATCCCATCATCCTTTGCAATACACATCCCACAACACGTGTCCCAGATGGCTGACTGTCAGCACCAGGCATATAGTCTTGTCATGTTCCCTTTAAAAGTGCAGCAATGGCAACAATTTGACCAGTAATTTTTGGTTCTTTGAATTATCAAAGGACTCAAGTAGTGTATGAGGCTATCTTATGACTTTTGTAACTTATGTACAATTTCTTACATTGTGTCATAAACATTTATGCAAACATTTGCTTCAAAAATGGTGCTCAAACTTCACCAAACTAAAGTGCTTTTCTACAAACTCTGTTGATTGGTGATATTATACATCTTGTGCATCAGAAAACCCCAAATGCACCAAAAAGCACCCGTGGGAAACGGAAGAAAATTACATTTGTTGATGATTATTACATAAATCATATCAAATATAATATTTTCTTCTGTTTCCCATGGGTGCTTTTTGGTGCATTTGGGGTTTTCTGATGCACAAGATGTATAATATCACCAATCAATATAACCCCGTCTGGTTTTGAAGAATTCAGAAAGGAAGGGATACGGATACTCACCAGTCACTCCTATTCAATGACTTTTTTTATAACATGGTTAGCATTAGTACTATTTATAATGTCTTGGGGTGGTGGGACTTTGGCGCACTGTTATATCAACTCTGTGTATTTATATGTTAATTGTATTTTGTTGTGTGGCGCTGTTAAAATAAGTTATGACCTTGAGTCCTTGTTATTTTGTTACTGTGTATTAACGAATAAAAAATATACTCACCACAGTCGATGTCTCCTTCTGTGCAGATGTTAACTAAAGAACAAAAATGGAATAGTTAGATATTATATAGTTGTAACTGTTTAGAACTACTGTGAGGTTCATATCTATATTTTTTGTCTTGTTTGTATTTATTTTGGTTTTACCCACCTTGTAATGATGCATGTATTTTGTCAATGTGTTTTACACTCGTTGTATGTTTTTGAGTATATAAGCAACCTGTGTTTTTTGCCTAATACTAGTACTCGATAGATATAACGTGAACTAGAAAATGTAACATTTGCAAAGCAAATGCATAATGTTTACCTTCAGACATGGTCTGCTCTGTTAATTCTTACTCAAACACATTCACATATATGTACTACAGTATATGGTGACAGGAGTAAAGCAGACCATGAAATTGCAACATTATGTAACCCAACACCAGTCCCCATGGTGACAGACATCACCATGGTGTCATGTCAATTCATGTCATTGGCCAGGTCAGAGGTTAGTGTTTGGAACAGAAGAGGAGGAAACTGAGTAAAAACAATATGTTTTCCTTCGGTAAACATAATAAATAAAAATATATATTCTTCTCGGTAAATGAAATAACTCACCACAGAGGCCGTCCTTACACCAGCCCTTCTCTGACGCGCATGTCTGACAAGGTTGTCCTGTGACGTATGGTTTTATCCCTGGATAGTTCCCCCTTTACAGGGCAGACAGTACAAATACATTTGCCCATACAGCGTGCAAAATACCTGGTTGCCCAGTTGCCCCCGGCAACCAAATTTTACTTGGGGCAACCTATTTTTGAACCTAGGTAGCCCAGTGTGCTACCTGAATTTTAAGAATGCCCCCCTTCCCAAATCATGCCCACTCGGCTTGCACCACTGTATCCGGCAGATGCTTTTTAATTTTAGGTATTAATGGCTATTACTAGTATCAGTTACTTAATTTGAGGAACTAGTAGTAACCTATAGGTGGAACAACCTAAAATTCTGATGGGCAACCTAATTTTTGCAGTAGGTTGCCCACTTGGCAACCTTGTTCAAAAAAGTATTTTGTACACTGCCATAGAAGCCTATGGTCAAATACACTAAAACAAGTCCCAATGAAAGTACTTTCTCACATTTCAATCTCAAAACTTCTGCACGCACCAGAGAGCCACAAGGGTCTGTTTCCCAAATATAGAAAGAAAACGGGGTTGACCAGCTCAAACTCTTACAGCACCTGACAACAGTGAACAAACCCTACTTTTTAGGGTTAGATGTTCGAGGGTTAGGTGTAACAAGTCGTTGGGTGTAATGTAGCCAGCTGCCGCTGCGCCGCGTGCCTGCGACGCTGGTGTGTTACTCCGAAGGGCGGTTAAGCCGACTCTACCAATACAGATACCAATACAGATACAGGTACAGAAAAGGAAGAAGGGTTTCTATACAAAATGCATGCTTACCCTGGTCCATAGTTACAGGTGAGTAGGTAGGCGTTAGTGATACTACTGCCTCTCACATTAGAACAGAACGCCAAACCACATCCAATCGCGTAAGACTTCCCCCACATCAGCTGTAAACACGTAAACACAAACAATAAACAAAGTGACGGCGGCAGCATAACGGTTATAAATTTGAAGAAGGAAAGGCGTGATATGATTGGCTGCTCGCACCTGTGTGTAGTGGCCGCAAACCTTGTCATGCGCACAAGAGGCGTTGTCGTAATCGTAGTTTGATATTTCGTTAAACCAAGCCTAGAAAACACAAGAAATGCACAATCATTTTAACACTCATCATAACGAATTTAAACATTCATATGCTAATACACACTGGATAGTGGTTTAGCAATATACAATATATCAATATATTTCTTTAAATCAAAGAGCCACTTCTTTAGGCCAGTGCATTTTACCTGCCCTTAAACAAAAAATAAAATCATTTAAAAACGTTCATGACGATTCAAATTTTCGAACAGACTAGTGGTGATTAAAAAATCACCTGCAATACCTGTATGGCACCACGAATGGACGATCCCTGAGTCCACGTCGTCCCCAGCCACAGGTTCTGCCCCACCCAGCTGAATGGTGGACGGTCCCTGTGAGGTTGCCCGTGCTCCCAGGTACACTTCTCGGACCACTGCTGGGCCATCCCGGCTAGTTCCTCGTGCCAGGACTACATTGGGAGCAGACAATCATGTCATGAAACATTGCAATGTTTGAAGTGGGTTCTTTGTTTGTTTGTTTGTTTGTTTGTTTGTTTATTTAACCAGGAATTACATGTCGCCTATTGGCGGTTTTCAAAGGTTCCTGGGGGGATAACCCCAACAAAACTACATGACATTAAAATTGTAACAAAAGATTAAAGATGAACTAACAAAGGTCAACTAAAAATAGATAAACTTATCGTGAACAAGACGAAATCGTAACTAACACATCAACAATCAAATGAAATAAGGTAACATAGAAGTAATTATAATCGTTCAGATATCAAATCATATAATGGTAGATAGTCAAACGTGCGTGGGCTGTTTGTTGCTCTCCCAAACACGGGACCTCCATTTAACGTCCTATCCGAGGGACGCTAAAAAAGAACAAAAGGTTCTACCCTGAATTTGCAGTACACCCCCGACCTAACATAAAGGCAGCGAAGCAGAACGAAATCACTGGCTATCCATGCCTTGTAGAGTATGTACATGTATTGTAAGATTATAAACAACTTAATTACATGTTAGAAGTAGGGTGGACAGACAATGATCTTTATCTTCCATATCATTACACTCTTCTGCCAGGTGTTCTCGCTAATCTAACATCTTTTATCAGATTGTTCTACAGCAGTATAACATGCTACAGTGACAGTCGATACACCTTACTCTCCAAGCAGAGGTGAGAGGGAGAGAACGTAGGATATTCCGACATGGCTAGCTAAGGGAGGGAAATGTGCCTCCCTTAGCTAGCCATGTCGGAATATCCTACGTTCTCTCCCTCTCACCTCTGCTTGGAGAGTAGATACACCTTACTTAGTAGCCTCTACTAGAGTTCGGGAAGTGGCCGCGAAATGTTCTCTCAACGGACAAACTCCCTTGGCATGCTTATCTCTCTATTTTGCCGATTTCTACTCTTTCCAGCCGCCTCCCCAAGCCTGGTAGAGACTAGGAAAAAGTAGACATTGGTAGCCTCCTGTGCAGTCCTCCGGGCGGGTGTATATACGGGTGGGAGCTTTGATACTGCGTTTTGTAGAATTCGTAACGCGTTCTTTTGCATGCCGGCCATCCTACAACCAGCCTAGTCTCTACCCGACCAGACTAACTACGCTGGCTATATTTGCCGGCGGAGTTTGGGCGCCTTGTAGGTTTGACTGTCCGCGCGAATCGACAATTCCACTTTTAAATGATACAGCATGTAGCTGTTTTGTCTGAAATTCATATGCATCCCGCGAAATTAAGATAGACTCAAAACAGATTCGGAAAAAAAACCTTTGAAACAATGGTGAAACACAGCACTTTTGCTGGCCCCTTGGAAGCTATTCATGTGGCCGATACCATGTAGGTGAAAATTGACCTTCAATCCATAAAACACACAACTATACTGCACCCAGGAGCCTCTCTGGTCAGGAAACAACCACTGCCGTAAACTTGCCCGTTTCCTCTGGTATTTAAAGGGAAGACTGGCTCATAATTAGCGACGATGTGCCAAATAGTTGTTACTCAGTCATTTTCGTTACCGCACCTAGCCTCCTGTGCAGGCCCCGCGGCGGTGGGGAAGAGTTTTTAACGCATTATTTTAATATAGCCGGCCATCCTACATAGCCGACGAGAGAAGGTTGCTT